GTAAATAATTTGGTACCACACACTCCGTATGTCGAGTCAAACTGTCGTTATCTTTACGACCGGTTACATGTTGTTTATTATCATGGCACTCTACTAGATTGAACTTTAAAATACTATTTTTTAAGTAAAAGAGTCAAAAGTTGACATTGAATTATTCTATTGAGAATGCCATATTCTGCAAAATAAAGTAAAAAAATACCGACGGTACCATTTAAAAACCAAAAGTTGTAGTCATTTCCGGTGAAACAAGAAATGACCGAAACTAATTGAATACATCAATCAAGCTACTTTTGAAAAACACCCGATATATTATAATTCTTTCTGATAGATTTTACAAAATCCTTCAACTTCTATTAAGAATGTCATATAACTAAATAAATCACTTTACTTAATGTTTAATAATAAATAATTTTTGTTTTGTCATATGGCAACTTGTTATAATGTAAATGAATTAAAAGAAGGATAAAATTCAGAACAGATTGCAAGCTGTTGAGTATAGGTGTACTTAATATACTTTCTTAACAAATGTTGAAAGGTTTTGTAAAATCACTAGAAAAAATAATAATATATATATCGGATCAGCCAAAAAAAATGTTTGAACACAGTGTAGCATCTAACTGCAAGTATTTTTACATATAAATATATTTTTTTTTCATCTCTGTAAAACACTCCTACCAAATTTGTGTAGTCCAACTTCGGAAACAACTGACAGTTAAGTAACATAGGAATAAAATTTTACTTTTTTTTTAAATTGTAAATACTTACTAACGTTATTTATAAAAAAAAGTTATAGAATTTTAGGCAGAATCGAAAATAAAATAAAAATGGAGTTTTGCATTAAAAAACATGTATCCGCCACATTTTTTGAAGCAACCAGTATACTCAAAAATAACATTTGAACTGTGTCTCTAAAGATTCTCTATACCCTTTTTTTTATTTTTTTGGAATTCCCAAAACAAACGAGATAATTAACTTTATTTCTTTCGTGATATCTCATTTTATAATATTTCGGAAGAATCAATCAGGTACCTTATTTTTATAATTATTAGAAATAAATCGGAATTAAAGGATAAGGGATATGTAAATATATACCATACGATAAAAAAAAAACGGCCTCAGAGGTGGTTTGGAAATGAATATCAATGTCATTTGTACGTAAACAAATAGACGCCGTTTTTTTTTCGCTCATACCGTATAAGAAAAAAAATTTAATAAAGCAAACGCATTTATTAATATATGTATATAGATTTACATGGTATGAAGAAATTCGCATTATGATCTCTGAAGGTCCCACCAATGGTTGGTTAAAGCGGCGAGTACGACCACTTAGCAGTCACACCTATAATAATTTAATAAAATATGAATATAATAAACAAACTTATTTCTTTTAGATTTTTTAAAAGCGAGTTATATGTGTTAAGTGGTTTTTGATTATTTTAGGCTAAATTTTTATAGACATATTATTTTAGACCAAATTGTCTGCCCACTCAAACGTCTTCAAAATTATAATGTAGGAAATTCTTAATATGTTTTAATTGGGAATACTTTTAGAAAGTTTCATTTTCACCAAACAAAACTACGTACCTATGTATAATAAATTGCAGTATAATCAACTATAATGCATGATATATACTAGGGGCGTCAAAACTAGATGTTTTTTACTAGGGTTTTTCTCGATTATTTCGAACAGAACTCCAATTTTTTCTCAAAAATTTTTTCCAACTTTGTTTTGAAAAATAATTTTTAAATCCATAATCGATGTATATACAGTAATGTCCTCTTTTAGAATACATAATTATTTTCAGCTGCATCGATAAAATAAATCATATTTACTGATGCCAAGTAAAAAAATAATTAGAAAATTATTTTAAACATCTAATTCTTAATTTTTGTCGCTGATAAATAGATATATCACTTTTGACGACAAACCTACTAATAAAAATTGCGTAAAAAATCATGTATTCGCAAAGAGACAATTGAAAACAATTTAATAACTATTAATTTGGGATATAGATCTTAATAAAACAAAAGTTGGATAAAAGCTTTGTTGATTTATGATATAAAATACAGTGTTTCATTTGAAATAGCAAAGAAAAATATAATATCTAGTTTTGACTCATCCTGTATATAATAAACAATTTAGTCTATTTTTAATATAATTATATGAATTATATAATTATTAATTATTAACTTAAATTAGTTCCAGTAAAAAACGTCGATATTACCTATTTTTAACTTAACTTAGAAAGAGAGGGCTTTAAATATATATTTTATTATATAAACAATAAAATTCAATCCAAAAAGGGTCAAAATATATTCTTTGGTCAAAATGAACTCTATACGACTACGACATTATGGTTTTTTTTGGAATGACAATTTAATAACAAATCCACCAAGCAAAAATAAAAAATATAGCCTTTCTTTTCACAAACTCATAACCTTTGCTCATAACTAATAACTTTAAAAGTAAATATATATTTGAATCATCCTGTATATCTATAAAAATACCTCCCTGTAAAATTTACGCTACTTTTGCAAGCATATTTTACAAAAAATATGATTTGAGTGAAAATATAAAATAGGAAATCTGATATGAAGCTTTATCTAAACACAGGGTTGACTGTAGATAAACAATATTTTACGTTATCAAGTTATTAAGAAAAATTCTCGGAAAAATTATAAAATACACAATATATCTGACAGTTCCAAAAAAGCAAAGTGAGAAATGAAACAATATAGCATAAAATCAGTATTTTTTTAAACTAAGCAAACTGGGCATTATCGTTTAATCTATCTATCAATCTATCAAATGTTTATTATTAAACTTATCTCAGACTCTATAAGATTTTTCCCAAGAGTGATTTAAAACAAATTTATATGAGTTTAGAAATAAATATGAACAGTATTTACTTACCTGTAAAACAGATGCTTTTTGCTTAATTAAATATGTTGGAAAATATTATCCAGTAGGTACAAATACACAACACTTAAACACAACAAAATAAACTAATAAAATAATAGTTTCTAATCCAAATTTCACAAATACTGTTTATGTTTCTTCGCGAGAGGACGAAAAAACTGAATTTTTTAATTACTCAGATATGCATTAAGGTATATTTCAATTCAAAAGCTTATAAATATTTATTTTTATAAGACATAACCTAAACGAAACGAAATTACAAGTCGAGAAAGATCAACAAAACTGCCGAATTTAGAAGCGAATATAACTTTTTTTCCTTTTTTCTTGTCACAGTTGAAACAAACAAGGATAAAGCTATTTTCGTAAAACATGGGTGAAACGTGCTAATAAGTGGCCCAATAGATGTGACCTCGCGCCCTTCCATTTTTGAACGATGGGTGGGTTTAACGGATTCCCCTCAAAGAAAATCGTAGGGGAATACAAAAATTCAGAACGGGCAAGGCGCCACCTAGAAGACGGGCTTGTACTAAGCCCTCATTGTATATCTATTTATACATAATCAAGGGTATTACTATGTTATAACATCAAAAAGTTATAAACGCGACTTGTTACATGAAATAAGCGAATATCTAGATGACTATTAGTCGGCAGGCTGGGTGTGAATAGGCTGTGCCCATGAGGATCAAGTTGAGTGACGTTATCACGAATCTACGACGTGACACGCATAGGCGTGTGAGGTTTAATAATTATTTTTAGACGCGTTTTCTATTGAGACTTGTAGCATCTGTGTGTAGCATTATATCCAACCTTTACGGTTGATTCGTTCTTCTGTTTTCTGTTTAAATTATTATGTTGAAATTACAATATGTACGACCTTAGTGTACGACAAATATTTTTCATTCATATACAGGTACGTTGGAATTTTTATCAACAACAAATATTTCAAAATCTTTAACTTCAATGTATAAATTTATCTATTTTTTAATCTTACAGGAAATCGATATAAGTGGTGTTAAGTAGAACAGCCGATGGGTTGTTATACTTTTACTTCAGAAGTACTTGTTATCAGTGAAATATTTTTGAAAATGTTTAAAAAAGTATTAAGACACTTAAAACATATGATGGAAAAGAGAGACCAAAGTATTTTATTGGGAGAAAAAATCGAAATTTTTTCCTTTTAAACTTGAAATTAATTTTGAATAACAATAATACTGTGACAAAATAATATATTGGTAAGTTAATAATATTGCCTCGTTTAATACTGGTGTACAGGGTGAGTCTTGAATAAGTACAAATATTTTCAGGGCTGGTAGATCTCGATAAAAGAAACATATTTTCTCTTTGCCGTTTTTCAAATAAGTACAAAATAACCGAGATATTTTACTTTGAAAATTTCCCAAAAAAATATTTTTTCCTTACATTTTGAGAACCTTTGGATCTTTTCTGGGGTTTCTTTACTGTTAATTTAATTTACTACCTATGTTGCCGTATTATGAAGATATTATGTCAAAAAATTATTTATTCAATTCAAATTTATTAAAAAAATTTCCAAATTTTCAAAAAAAAAATCACTAAAAAACCGCATAGATGTATTTCTGGGATCGAAATCATAACCACCAAATGAAAACCTATAAATATTAAAAATATTTACACTTATTTAAGACTCACCCTCTATAATATTTAAAATAGTAAGGTCTATTTTTAAAAACTGTTTATTTCATCCGCCCAGTATACCGGGTGCGTCTCAAAAGTGGCCCACCCCTACAAATTTTTTATTTTTTTAGTTAAAAAAACGAATTTTGATATGACATAAATTAGGATTGACTGACGTATTCAATTGTTTTCGGGCACTTCCAGTATATGATATGTCATTCTATTCAGAATGTTATTTTCTATCGAATAAAGCAAAAAATACCGAGGGTGCCATTTAAAAATCAAAAGTTGTAGTCATTTCCGGTGAAACAGGAAGCGACCAAAAACAATTGAATACATCAATCAATCCTAATTTATGTCATATACTAACATACCAAATCTCGTTTTTTTATCTGAAAAAATAAAACAGTTATAGGGGGTGAGCCACTTTTGAGACGCACCCGGTATTATAAGTAGCTTATCTTATTATCGCAGGCACTTGAGACCCTGCAATAATATAAATATTTCTCGGTAGTAAATACATTAATTCATTTATAAGCGTTGTGTGGATTTTAAAAGGTTATAATTTTTCTGTTTTAATATACAATTGAAAAAGTAGACATAATTTTACAAAAGCACACCTACAATAATTAACACCAGTTTAGACCGGTTAGTTATCAAAAAGTTTATTTGTTGCAGATAATATGGATGCTATTAGAAACGGTTGGTTTAGTGAAATATCCGAGTTGTGGCCGGGACAAAGTTTTTCATTAAAAATTAAGGAAGTACTGTTTCATGGAAAATCGGACTACCAGGACGTCCTTATTGTACAAACGTGAGTATTGATTTCTTATTTTATTATAACGGGTGCGTCTCAAAAGTGGCTCACCCCTATCACTTTTTTATTTTTTTAAATTAAAACACGAGATTTGGTATGTTAGTATATGACATAAATTGGGATTGATTGACGTATTCAATTGTTTTCGGTCACTTCCTGTTTCACCGGAAATGACTACAACTTTTGATTTTTAAATGGCACCCTCGGTATTTTTTTACTTTATTCGATAGAAAATAACACTCTGAATAGAATGACATATCATATGTCAACTTTTGACATTTTCGCATATGGTTTATTTGAAATTATAACTCGCGGTTCGTAACGAAAATTTGACTTTAAATACGTAAGTGTGTTGTATCAAATTATTCGTAAAAAAATGCGTTTTCCAAATATGCTAATGAGCCACCCTCGTTCCATTTAAAAAAAATTGAGATATGATTAAAAATACAATTTACATTTTTAACCGGCCAGGACAAGACACTAAAAATATTAGACGATCAAATCTATTTTTCCAAGGCTCCTTGATTAAGAATTAGCATTTTTAACATAGCCATGACACTCTAGATTGAATTTTAAAATATGATTTTTTATTAAGCGAGAATGTCAAAAGTTGAGATATGATACGTCATTCTATTCAGAATATCATTTTCTATCAGGCGCAAAGGCCCCCGCGGACACCGCGAGGCGGGGGGCCCCGGGTAAATTGGGGTCCCCCGCACCTCATCCATCAAAAATAATTATTAAACAAACCGAAAACTGAAATTACATTTAGGCACACAATCCTTTTTTCAGCAATAATTAGGCTGATATAAAACAATTATTTTACACTATATTATTCTCTACAGGTATAATAATAATTATTATTGTACGGGTTAATTTGGAATTTGGTTTAGTTGTAAATCTGTTTAGGCGACACAACACACGGCGATTATCATGTTTTCACGGCGTTTTTGATTAAAAGTATCATATCGGTAAACTTTTTCCCAGGCTTTTTCCATAAGCACACTTATTTTAAATGACTCTGTGAACAATATTAGCGAGATAAGAAATTTTTTTGACACGGTTCAGAATCTTTATAAACTTTTCAGTGTAAGTCTATCCCGTTGGCAAAGCCTAAACGGCGAAATAAAAAATAGTAAAACTGTTGGTTTAACTTTAAAAAAATTATGTCCAACTAGACGGTCGTCAAGAGCCGAAAGTATACTATCGATAAAAACTAATTATTTGTCCGTCGTCAAGTGTCTATTAAATTTAACGTTAATACTGAAAAAACCTACTGATAGAGATGAGGCCAAGATGTTACAAGATAAAATAGAAAATTTCTAATTTATTTTCTTACTAAATTTCCAAGGTACAATATTGGAAAATACTAACTTGCTTTCAAAACGCTTACAAAAAAATGACATTGACATAGGACTGGCCACAGATCTAATATCAGGAGTTCTTGTTAAAATAGAAAATCTTAGGGACAATTTTGAAAGTGTGTATGAGCTATCAATTTCAATTGCGAAATCTTGGAATATTGAACCCAAAAGTTAAAAACCAAAGAGTTTGTAGAGTTAAACCTTTTTTTGATGAAATAGCAGCTGATGAGCCCATCGAAAATCCTAAAAGTCGTTTAAAAGTCACAATTTTTTATGCTTGTTTGGATATAATAATAACTCAGTTTGAAATTTGAATTTTTAACCCCACAAACATTGTTAAAATCCCAGAAATCTGATATCTTAGCTAATGCCAAAGTATTAGTAGACAAATATCCTAACGACCTAACACAAAATCTAGCATTGGAGCTAATTCCAGCAAAAAATTTACTTTATGAAAAAAGCAAAAATTTTCACAGTATCAGAGAGTTTTCTGATTTAATTTTTCAAAAAAAAACAATTACTGATTAGCAGTATACCTGAGATTTGCATTGTATTCCAGATGTTTCTGGTTCTCCCTGTAACATCGGCTGAATCAGAAAGAACTTTTTCTAAGCTGAAAAAAAATCGCCTAAGCTCACTGGCCATATCAGTTAAGAATGACCGAGCAAAAGAGGTAGATTTGGACAGCCTCGTAAAGAAGTTCCTTTTGTTAAGGTCGAGGAAAAAGGAATAGACTTTCTAATATACCATAGGGTACTTCATAAATATTTAAAATTTTACTATAATAATAAATAAATACTATAATTATAAATAAATAAATGTTGAAACGATTATCAAAATATAAAAAAAATATCACATTGTGGCTCTTGTTAAAAAATATGTTTCAAGCAGATATCACAATAATGATGAATTTGGAGGAATTTTTGAGTATAGTTAGGGGGGCCCCCTTACAAAGTTTGCGGGGGGGGGGCCGCGAGAATTTGCCACGCCACTGTTTTCTATCGAGTGAAGTAAAAACATACCGCGGGTGCCATTTAAAAATCAAAAGTAGTGGTCATTTCCGGTGAAACAGGAAGTGACCAAAATCAATTGAATATGTCAATCAATTCCAATTTATGTCATATACCAACATACCAAATCTCGTTTTTTTGTTGTAGGGGTGAGCCGCATTTGAGATGTACCCGGTATACATTTTTACACCGGTCTACAGAAACAAGGTTAAGCCTTTCTTGCTTCTGCAAATATTTAAAAACCAAAATTATTAGTTAAATCTAAAGTCTATTCGTTCTCGTGTTTTAGAGACTAACAAACATCATTTTATTTATATATATATATATATATATATATATATATATATATATATATATATATATATATATATATATATATATATATATATATATATAATATAAATAAGAAAGAAATTTATTGGTAAGTCCACAGAAGATTAGTCATGATACATGACTAAAACATGACTACCATGTAGACACTCAGTGTTTCTGCCTTCCGGCTTCATCAATACGGGAGGAATCAATAGAAAGCAGAAACACTGAGTGTCTACGGGTAGTCATGTTTTAGTCATGTATCATGACTAATCTTTCTGTGGACTTGCCCAATAAATTTCTTTCTTCGGTTTTTTATAGTTTCCACGATAACTTCCTTTGTTTATATATATATATATATATATATATATATATATATATATATATATATATATATATATATATATATATATATATATATATATATATATATATATATATATATATATATATATATATATATATATATATATATATATATATATATATATATATGTGGTGCATTTCAAAATTCATTCACCTCTATAACTTTTTTTTCAGATAAAAAACGAGATTTATTCTCGGTCCTTTATTAAAAATTAGTGTTTTTACCACAGAATTAATTGAAACTTAAAATACGATTTTTTAAGCGAAACTGTCGAAAGTTGACATATGATATGTCATTCTATTCAGAGTGTCATTTTGTGTTGTGTGGTACCAAATTATTCGTAAAAAAATTATTTTTCCTAATATGCTAGTGAGCCACCCTTGTTCCATTGATATTATATGATTAAAAATGCGATTTAGACATCTTTTAACAGGCCACACACGAGACGATAAACAGTAGATGATCAAATCTGTATGTCACAAATATTATACCGGGTGCGTCTCAATAGTGGCTCACTCCTATAACGTTTTTAATTTTTCGATAAAAAAAACGAGATTTGGTATGTTAATATGATAGTATGTGACATAAATTAGGATTGATTGACGTGTTCAACTGTTTCATCGGAAATGACTACAACTTTTGATTTTTAAATGGCACCCTCGGTATTTTTTTACTTTATTCGATAGAAAATGACATTCTGAAAGATTTTAGTACAAATATAGCTTGAGCAAGATGGAAGCTCTTCTTATCATATTTTAAATCTCATACAATAATAAATGTTGTTTGAATTTAGTTCAAAGTATGTATATTTACACAAAGCGGAATGAGTAAGTGAAAAATTCAGCACATGTGAAATATAATCTATACCGGGTGTGTCTCAAAAATGGCTCACCTCTATAACTTTTTCATTTTTTCAGATAAAAACTAGATTTGATATGTTAGTATATGACATATAAATTAGGATTGATTGACTTATTCAATTGTTTTTGGTCACTTCCTAGCTGTTTCACCGGAAATGACTAAAACTTTTGATTTTTAAATGTCACCCTCGGTAAATTTTTACTTTATTCGATGCAAAATGACACTCTGAAGAGAATGACATATTATATGTCAACTTTTGACATTTTCGCTAAAAAAATAATATTTTAAATTTCAATCTAGAGTGCCATGACTGTGGTAAAAACAATAATATTTAATCAAGGAGCTTGAAAAAAAAATTGATCATCTACTGCTTTTCGTGTCTTGCATGGCCTGGTCAATTAAAAGATGCCCAAATCGTATTTTTAATGATATTATAATTTTTTTCACTGGCTCACTAGCATATTTGGAAAAAGCATTTTTTTACGAATAATTTGGTACCACACAATTGGTATTTCGAGTCAAATTGTGTGTTGTTATATGAACCGCATGTTACAATTTCAAATAAACCATATGCAAAAATGACAAAAGTTGACATATGATATGTCATTCTCTTTAGAGTGTCATTTTTTATCGAATAAAGTAGAAATATATCGAGGGTGCCATTTAAAAATCAAAAATTGTAGCAATTTCCGGTGAAACAGGAAGTGACCAAAAACAATTGAATAAGTCAGTGAATGCTCATTTATGTCATATACTAACATACAAAATCTCATTTTTTTATCTGAAAAAAATAAAAAAAATATATAGGGGTGAGTCACTTTCGAGACGCACGCGGTATAATAATTACTATTGATGTTTTACATTAAATTAAATATGACATTTGTATCTATTCCAGGACAAATCATGGTAGAGCTCTAATTTTAGATGGAATTATCCAATGCACGGAATTTGATGAATTTTCTTATCAGGAAATGATCAGCTTCTTGCCATTATGCGCTCATAAAAATCCTGAAAAAGTACTAATTGTTGGTGGTGGCGATGGTGGAGTTGCTAGGGAAGTACAAAAGCATCCGTTGGTCAAGACTTTTGTTCAAGTAAGTATAAATCTACTAGCGTGTACCAGCGACTTCGTTCGCGTCGTATTAATCATTTGTAATGGTGATGATAAAGCAAATCAAGAATTGCTATTAACATACAAACTGGATAAAATTTTCTCACATTTATGTCAGCATGAGAAAAAAAATATGGCGATATTATTATATAACTTGAGGGGTAGTTTCATCTCGTTGGAATTTGACTTTCGAAAAATCCGTTTGCCAAAAATAAGCTTTTTACGTCAAGCAGTTTAAGCAGAATCGTGGTTAAGAAATTACCCAACTTTTTGGAACACCCTATATGATTTTTTAAAAAATTTCAAAATATGTAAAAAAATCAAATAAATCATGCTTGTCCAAGCGTTTTCCCGAAAGACTAACCGTTTTTTAAATAAGAAATATTGTAATATTTGAGGGGCGTTTTCACCCTATTGGAATTTGAGATTCGAGAAACCCCTCCTTATCCGCTTCCCAAAAATCAGCTTTAAACGTCAAGCAGTTTAAGCAGAATCGTGATTACTCAATGGTCATATTTTATGAAACACCCTGTATAAATTTATAAAAAGTCTTAAAATATGTAAAACAAGAAAATAAAATATACGTGTTTAAGAGTTTTTCCGAAAAACTCACCGGTTTTTAAATAAAAAATATTTTAATATTTGAGGGATAGTTTCACCCCCTTAGAATTCGAATTCCGAAAACTTTTTACGTCAAGCGCTTTAAGCAGGATCGTGATTAATCAATGACCAGATTTTTCGAAACACCCGTATACGTTTTTTAAAAATCTTAAAATATGTAAAAAAACACAATAAAATATACGTGCTTAAGCGTTTTTTCAGAAACTTGACCGTTTTTTAAATAAAAAATATTGTAATATTTGAGGGGTGGTTTCACCCTCTTGGAACTGGAATTTCGAAAAATCCCTTCTTATCGAACCTCTACACCCTAGAATCACCCTGTATGCTTAAATTGAGCTTCTTACGTTGAGTGGTTTGAGCAGGATCGTGATTAATCAGTATGTCAGTCACTTAAGGATTTTATATATTAGTATAGATTATACAGGTTGGTCCGAAATATATTCAGGAAACAGTAGCACATACAAAATTAATAAGTAGCACAAACAAAAATTAATAAAATGTTTTTATAAATATATGTCCAAAACTGCTTCGTTTCGGAGATACAGGGTGTAGAGATTTAATTTTTATTTCAATTTGTTTCTAAATAATTTCTAAATTAGCATCGATATTTGAATAATAAAAGATGTCTGGATGTTTTTTGACATGAGAAATTTGATTTCGATGTCTAGGGGGTAAATAGTAAACCGGGTTAAACCAATGAGTAAAAAAATATATATTTCCTCCGTATTTTACCTAGTCAGAGTGAGAGAACCATCTACCTATAATTTTAAAATTTTAATACACTTAGAAAAATTGTAAGCCAACATTAATCATATCTGGTGCATTATTTGTTTAACTAATCTTATATTGTTGTTTTTCAAAAATACATTTAGTGCATTATCAGTAAATATTTTGTAAAAACTTTGTTTATGTCTCAGATTAAATATAGTGATTTAATGGGAGGTTTAGTTGCATTTGATAACCTATAAACATGTTAAAGCACCTTGGTATCAAAAATTGTAGCGATCGTCTAATACAATAAATATATAAAATAAAATTAACTATTTAAATACTGTATTTAATTTTTTATTATTGTATTTAAATACAATGAATACAAAAAATAAGAAGATTCATACTGCAGATTCAAGATTATAACATTTTTATATTACAATAATCGTTCTTATCAATAATGCTATACTGCGCATTAATATAATGCTATTTGACAAACTTATTTAATATTATGGAGAAACAGTAATATGTTTTGTTGGATATTCTGGCATTAAAACATTATTATTAATTTGTTTTGTATTTTTTAAAGATCTAAAGATCCCTACACCCGGCATTTCATCAGCCGACTATTTTTATTAAAATAAAAATAGTTTGGGTACCTAGGTCGACTCAGCCTTATAAATGAGTACTTGGGATTCACAATAATAGGCGGTTGAAGCGTAGTGCTAGGCACATTACCAAAGCACATTACCTTCCTTGTATACCGAACGCCTCTAGCATGGCAAGCTGTACCTTGCTCCCAAGGCGTTAAACGCTATATACGGGAGCTATTTATTATTATTATTTTTTAAATTTTTTTTCTATACTATAGATTTTTTTCTCTCTTTTTTTGTTATTTTACTAACACTATTTTCTTATTATTAAATTTAGGTAGAAATCGACGATATGGTAATACAACAGAGTAAAATTCATCTCCCCTTTATGGCCAAAGGTTTCGACTCTCCGAAACTGACGTTAGAAGTATGCGATGGGTTTGAATATATGAAGAACCATCAAAACGAATTTGATGTAATTATTACCGATTCTTCTGACCCAGTGGGCCCTGCTGTTAACCTCTTTACAGAAAGTTACTTCAAATTACTGAAAACTGCTTTAAAACCTAATGGTGAGCACTGATAGTATATTATATATTGTAACAGCAGAGGTTAGAACCTCTGGTGTTACAACAACAAATTAAAACACTGATTTTCACCACAATACACTAAAATACTTTACTTTTGTCTCCAAAAAAATCCTTTATGGGTATTTCGCCACTGCACTGCAAGAAAATCTACAAAATAAAATAGTTATTTTTTTTAAACACTTCTGCGTTAAACATAAACGAACACTGCTTGTCAGAAGTTATGTTTACAGTTATACAAATTTGCCTAACAAAGAAAAAAATTAATAATGTCATTTTAACAGAATCTGTTTTAAAAAAGTAAAGTGTTCTCGAATAGTTGAATTTAAATATTTTAAATAGTTTTTTTTTCTTTATTCTTTGTATTTTTTTTTGCTTCCGACGACGCGACGGAAAGAGATAAACTTTCCGAAACGTTAAGCATTTTTTTCTTTGTTAGGCAAATTTATATAACTGTAAACATAACTTCTGACAAGCAGTGTCCGTTTAGGTTTAACCCTTGATTATGTATAAATAGATGTACAATGAGGGCTTAGTACAAGCCCGTCTTCTAGGTGGCGCCTTGCCCGTTCTGAATTTTTGTATTCCCCTACGATTTTCTTTGAGGGGAATCCGTTAAACCCGCCCATCGTTCAAAAATGGAAGGGCGCGAGGTCACATCTATTGGGCCACTTATTAGCACGTTTCACCCATGTTTTACGAAAATAGCTTTATCCTTGTTTGTTTCAACTGTGACAAAAAAAAGGAAAAAAGTTATATTCGCTTCTAAATTCGGCAGTTTTGTTGATCTTTCTCGACTTGTAATTTCGTTTGTTTAGGTTATGTCTTATAAAAATAAATATTTATAAGCTTTTGAATTGAAATATACCTTAATGCATATCTGAGTAATTAAAAATTCAGTTTTTTCGTCCCTCGCGAAGAAACATAAACAGTATTTGTGAAATTTGGATTAGAAACTATTATTTTATTAGTTTATTTTGTTGTGTTTAAGTGTTGTGTATTTGTACCTACTGGATAATATTTTCCAACATATTTAATTAAGCAAAAAGCATCTGTTTTACAGGTAAGTAAATACTGTTCATATTTATTTCTAAATTCATATAAATTTGTTTTAAATCACTCTTGGGAAAAATGTTATAGAGTCTGAGATAAGTTTAATAATAAACATTTGATAGATTGATAGATAGATTAAACGATAATGCCCAGTTTGCTTAAAAGTTTAAAAAAATACTGATTTTATGCTATAAATTGTTTCATTTCTCACTTTGCTTTTTGTCAGATATATTGTGTATTTTATAATTTTTCCGAGAATTTTTCTTAATAACTTGATAACGTAAAATATTTTTTATCTACAGTCAACCCTGTGTTTAGATAAAGCTTCATATCAGATTTCCTATTTTATATTTTCACTCAAATCATATTTTTTGTAAAATATGCTTGCAAAAGTAGCGTAAATTTGACAGGGAGGTATTTTTATAGATATACAGGATGATTCAAATATATATTTACTTTTAAAGTTATTAGTTATGAGCAAAGGTTATGAGTTTGTGAAAAGAAAGGCTATATTTTGTATTTTTGCTTGGTGGATTTGTTATTAAATTGTCATTCCAAAAAATACCATAATGTCGTAGTCGTATAGAGTTCATTTTGACCAAAGAATATATTTTGACCCTTTTTTGATTGAATTTTATTATTTATATAATAAAATATATTTAAAGCCCTCTCTTTCTAAGTTAAGTTAAAAATAGGTAATATCGACGTTTTTACTGAACTAATTTAAGTTAATAATTAATAATTATATAATTCATATAATAATATTAAAATAGACTAAATTGTTTATTATATACAGGATGAGTCAAAACTAGATATTATATTTTTCTTTGCTATTTCAAATGAAACACTGTATTTTATATCATAAATCAACAAAGCTTTTATGCAACTTTTGTTTTATTAAGATCTATATCCCAAATTAATAGTTATTAAATTGTTTTCAATTGTCTCTTTGCGAATAAACATGATTTGTTTTTACGCAATTTTTATTAGTAGGTTTGTCGTCAAAAGTGATGTATCTATTTATCAGCGACAAAAATTAAGAATTAGATGTCTAAAATAATTTCCTAATTATTTTTTTACTTGGCATCAGTAAATATGATTTATTTTATCGATGCAGCTGAAAATAATTATCTATTCTAAAAAGAGGACATTGCTGTATAAACATCGATTATGGATTTAAAAATTATTTTTCAAAACAAAGTTGGACAAAATTTTTGAGAGAAAAATTGGACTTCTGTTCGAAATAATTGAGAAAAACCCAACATCTAGTTTTGACGCCCCAGTAGTATATATCGTGCATTATAGTTGATTATACTGCAATTTATTATACACACGTAGTTTTGTTTGGTGAAAATGAAACTTTCTAAAAGTATTCCCAATTAAAACATATTAAGAATTTCCTACATTATAATTTTGAAAGACGTTTGAGTGGGCAGACAATTTGGTCTAAAATAATCATATGTCTAAAAAAATTAGTCTAAAATAATCAAAAACCACTTAACACATATAACTCGCTTTTAAAAAATCTAAAAGAAATAAGTTTGTTTATTATATTCATATTTTATTAAATTATTATAGGTGTGACTGCTAAGTGGTCGTACTCGCCACTTTAACCAAGCATTGGTGGGACCTTCAGAGATCATAATGCGAATTTCTTCATACCATGTAAATCTATATACATGTATTAATAAATGCGTTTGCTTTATTAAATTTTTTTTCTTATACGGTATGAGCGAAAAAAAACGGCGTCTATTTGTTTACGTACAAATGACATCGATATTCATTTCCAAACCACCTCTGAGGCCGTTTTTTTTTATCGTATGGTATATATTTACATATCCCTTATCCTTTAATTCCGATTTATTTCTAATAATTATAAAAATAAGATACCTGATTAATTCTTCCGAAATATTATAAAATGAGATATCACGAAAGAAATAAAGTTAATTATCTCGTTTGTTTTGGGAATTCCAAAAAAATAAAAAAAAGGGTATAGAGAATCTTTAGAGACACAGTTCAAATGTTATTTTTGAGTATACTGGTTGCTTCAAAAAATGTGGCGGATACATGTTTTTTAATGCAAAACTCCATTTTTATTTTATTTTCGATTCTGCCTAAAATTCTATAACTTTTTTTTATAAATAACGTTAGTAAGTATTTACAATTTAAAAAAAAAGTAAAATTTTATTCCTATGTTACTTAACTGTCAGTTGTTTCCGAAGTTGGACTACACAAATTTGGTAGGAGTGTTTTACAGAGATGAAAAAAAAATATATTTATATGTAAAAATACTTGCAGTTAGATGCTACACTGTGTTCAAACATTTTTTTTGGCTGATCCGATATATATATTATTATTTTTTCTAGTGATTTTACAAAACCTTTCAACATTTGTTAAGAAAGTATATTAAGTACACCTATACTCAACAGCTTGCAATCTGTTCTGAATTTTATCCTTCTTTTAATTCATTTACATTATAACAAGTTGCCATATGACAAAACAAAAATTATTTATTATTAAACATTAAGTAAAGTGATTTATTTAGTTATATGACATTCTTAATAGAAGTTGAAGGATTTTGTAAAATCTATCAGAAAGAATTATAATATATCGGGTGTTTTTCAAAAGTAGCTTGATTGATGTATTCAATTAGTTTCGGTCATTTCTTGTTTCACCGGAAATGACTACAACTTTTGGTTTTTAAATGGTACCGTCGGTATTTTTTTACTTTATTTTGCAGAATATGGCATTCTCAATAGAATAATTCAATGTCAACTTTTGACTCTTTTACTTAAAAAATAGTATTTTAAAGTTCAATCTAGTAGAGTGCCATGATAATAAACAACATGTAACCGGTCGTAAAGATAACGACAGTTTGACTCGACATACGGAGTGTGTGGTACCAAATTATTTACCAAAATTAGGTACCAAAATTTATTAGGTATCAAAAAATGCTTTTCCAAATATGCTAATGAGCCACTCTCGTTTCATTAAAAAAAATTGAGTTATGATTAAAATACGAAATGGGCATATTTCAACTGACCAGGAAAAGACACAAAAAATATTAGACGACCAAATCAATTTTTCCAAAGCTCCTTGATTAATCCTTGATTAAAAAATAATGGTTTTAACACAGCCATGACACTAGATTGAATTTTAAAATGCTATTTTTGATTTAATTGAAAATGTCAAAAGTTGACATATGATTGTTGATGTCAAAAGTTGTCATTCTATTCAGAATGTCATTTTCTATCAAATAAAGTACCGTATGATCGAATAAAAACGGCGTCAGCAATGGCTATGAAATGAAAAGCGCTGTCATTTTATATGTAAATTTATATGAGAAATGTCATCGATGTTCATTTCATAGCCATCGCTGACGCCGTTTTTATTCGATCTTACGGTATAAAAAATACCGAGGGTACCATTTAAAAATCAAATGTATACATTTCCGGTGAAACAGGAAGTGACCGAAACTAACTGAATACGAATCAATCTCGATTTATGTCATATACCTACTAACATTCCCAATTTAGTTTTTTTCTCGGAATCTGAAAAAATAAAAAAGTTATAGAGGTGAACCACTTTAAAAAAAAACACTCAGTATAGGCTGTGTCATTGAAAGAGTCTGCAGATATTTTTTTAATTTTAAATACGTAGAATTAACCATTAATATATGTTGAACACCCTGTAGCATCTGCCTTAAATATCTACATAGTATCTAATATTTTTTCTTCATCAACAAATTGAAATATTAGAAAACTAGTTTTAGGTTACACCATTATACAAGGATTATACATAAAAAAGTAATAATTTTACGCAGGATCTAAAATAAAATAGGATGTTACATTTAAAAAAAAACATTATGTTAAATCCGTCATACTTTTCAAAGTTACAGAGGTAGGTAGGTATAGTTTCATATATTTTTTTAATTATCCATCTAGAAATAAAATATATACATATATACCTAATATAATAATTTAGTATTTAACAAGGGGCCATGAAAATCAAAATAAATATAAATCCATATCCAAAAATAAAAAATGTAAATAACGCTTTGAGATAAAAATTCGGTTCAAAGCAGATAAGATATTTTATTCTTTACCGAGAATTAAATTCGAAGAATTCCTAGTCCCTACTTCTTTGCCAAATTCAATAGTCTCCGCCCCTTTTTATGTTTTAATTTCTGCCACCAGTTGGCAGCATCGACTTATACAGGCACATTGACTAACTATTAATATATAAACAAGGGTTTAACGCAGAAGTGTTTACAAAAAATAACTATTTTATTTTGTAGATTTTCTTGCAGTGCAGTGGCGAAATACCCATAAAGGATTTTTTTGGAGAGATCAATCCGCCACATAGGTATAGACATTTTTTACTTTACTTTTGCACTGGACGCGCTTTTTTGCTAACTATATTAGCATCGTCAGCAGATGATTAAAACTAAACTAATATCTGGAAATTGAACGTTTATATAGGGGCTTAGTTGGAACTGACCAAGCGTGACCAAAGTAGAAAGGAATTGGACCATTATCTCTGGCCATATTATCTTTAAATTTATTAATTTTGACGTTCGCATATGCATCCATTTTTTTGTAATTTAGTATTTGGGATAAGACAGTTTTTGCAACTTGACCAATGAGTCAGGAAAGAGTTCTACAACAGTTTAAAGAATACATACCAGTTGGCCCACTCTAAGGAATTCTATTGTTATTTTGACTTCAAAGGCGGCCCGTGACCCTTCGAGGTGACAAAAAATTTGTATGTTTGCTGGGTGCAGCGGAAGTGCTATTTTATCAGTCAGAACGCTGGCCGTATACGAGGGATCAACTAATAATACTAAGGAATTTTAATATAGCAAGTAGAAAAATAAAAATACAGTACTAGTTTTATTGATTAACAGCATATCTGTTGGATCCCATAAATCCTAAGGCACTTTTCCAGGCTCCACACCTACAAGTTATTTTCCTTATCAGACTCTACTTATACATATTATGGGGAATACATTAATATTAAAATATTAGATATATTATTCTATCCTAATTCTTTGGAATATGGAATTGTCAATAGGGTAATTATTATTAATAATTATTATGGAAACCCCATATGAAAAATGTATACTAAATAAATATAATTAATAAGTAATAATAAGTTAATTTTTTTTAAATAATAATTTGCATATTTCTTAAATTATAGCATGTTTTGCTTTATACAGTACGTCTGCTGGATCTGTGTCTATGAAAGGAATGCGGACAAAAAACATTTAAATAAACAGCAATATATTTTATACGTCGACTTGACGAGTACGTCACCGCAAATCGCTCCGCCCACTCATTTTATTGGCCAGTTGCAAATTTGTCGAATTTTTATTGAGGGACGCGTCGTCTAATTTTTTAAGAAAAACATCGAGAGAATATCGTTTCCCCTCTCACAGATACCCCGTAGCTACAGAACGGACAGACGTACTGTAGATGTTTGCATTTTACTTTAATTACCTACCCGGAAAACCCAAATTTTATCGTAAGGTAATAAAAGTACCTTTGCATACAACTAGTGTTGCCATTGTCAATTTTTTTGGAATTTTTTCTAAATTTTATGATTATCATGAACAGTAATTATGACTGTTAGTAGTTAATTGTGTAATAAATTTTACTGTTCGATAAAATTTAGTAAAAACTGAAAAAAATTGACAATGGCAAGACAAGTTGTATCCAAGTAGTTTTTATTACCTTTTGATAAAAAGGCAGATAATTCAAAAACTCTAAAAAACTTGTCAATAGCAGAACAAGTTGTATGCACGTATTTTTATTACCTGACGATAAAATTTGGACTTTCCAGGTAGGTAGTTAAAGTTAAATACAAACATCTAAAAAGTAAAACAGGCTATTTAAAAGAATGCAAATATCTTAAAAATAATTTAATATGCACTTTGCAAACCGGTAAATACTGCAAAATCCAAAACATAATAGTAAAGTATCTACTATACTACTCTAAAATATCTACTAAAATAATAAACTAATTGTTAAAAGTAAATATTTTGTGCATATTTCGAGTAAAATCTTTTCTTAATTTATATGTATATTTTTAAAACAATTTATTCATAGTTAGGTTTCCATAATTATAATATAATTAATATGTCTAATACTTTAATTATTATATACTTAATATCCGATACTATATAAACACATATCTTCCTTCATCTTTTGGGCACCTAAAGAACGATATATTATCTGTCATTCTACTTTCACAACCATCCACTGCACAAATATTTTTAGTAGATATTTTATTCACAATTAGAACAAAACAACTAAAACACTATTTTTGGTTCACCCTATGCGTCGGACCGAAAACAAAACGAAAATAAACTTGGAACGCTGTGTACCCGTCGAGCAACGGATGTAGACTGACCCAAGTCTACAAGACAGGCGGGGAGCGGCGGGAGGAATTTTGATACGGGCGAAGAGTGGGTCAACTGATATATTTATATTCTTTAAACTGTGGTTCTACAGATCACATCCAAGAAATATAGAAAATACAACTTACTTATTTGTCGCTCAAAATGACAGGCAATAGCTGTCATTCTCTTGTATTTCTTCGTGGGATAGACTTTACACAATTGGGGCAAAAGACACTCGAGATTTTTTAGTAATCTCTGTTACTTTACTGATGATAGTCATAATGTTCTGAGTACAGGATCCGGCA